GTTACGTACGTACGTACGTACGTTACGTTACGTACGTACGTACGTAGTTAGTAGTAAGTAAGTAGTAAGTAGTAGTAGTAGTAGTAGGTAGAGTAGAGAGAGAGAGAGAGAGAGAGAGAGAGAGAGAGAGAGAGAGGGAGGGAGCGAGGAATTAAAAAGTAATGGCTTGGGAAGACCTTCCATGATGCAGTGTCAAGGATGGTGTTAAATAATAGGACATCAAGTACAACTCCTTCAAGGCTTGCCTGGTACAAAAGATTTAAAGCGTCATCGAAGCCCTCCATGTCCAAAACTATCTGCAAAAGAAAATATTACCAAGGCTTAAATCTATAAGCTAGCAAATTAAAAGTAAATATATAACAATTTACAGAATTATGATACCCTAGAAAACCAGTGCATGGCTTATATAAGCACTAAGAACACAGAGATGCCATGCAAAGACAATATGAATAAAAGGTATCAACACATCAAGTTCATATTGAGTTCTTAGCAGCTAGATACTGACACAATGTCACAGTGATACAAAAATTATAAGTCTCAGCCAGCAAATTATAAAGCAATATATAGTTCAGAAAGAAATAAGAAGAACACATGTCGCAAATAAAATGAAAAACATAAATGTGCTCTTGTTTCTATCATCTAGAAATCAGGAGAGAGATATCCCAGGGTATGGCATCTTGGCATAGGGAGTAAGAACCACTCATGAGACATACTGCTATGAAGCAATGGTAAATAATGATAACTACAGATATGCTCAAAAGACGATTGATCATTCCATCCTAAAGTATATGCTTGAAGCTTCTGTAACAAAAAAGAATAGCGGTCAGAGGGTCCCTTGCCTGATACCATAAAACTAGCAAAAAAAGACATTTAACAAACAGCTTACAGAGGCATCAGGCTTTGATTTGAGATGCCCAATTCAGAATTCAAACCACCAGACTCATCATAAAGAAATACTGCAAAACTTACAACTGCTGAATAAGATTATGCCAAACGACCCTGTCAAACACCTTTTTTTTTATATTGTAAACTGTAGTATAGATAAAGAGTGAGTACATCGTGCAAAGAGGAAACCCACATACCAGGCCTCTTGCCAAAAAATAAACCCTGTCAAGGCAACTTGAAAGCCAGAATTCATTTTTAGTATCTGGACAAGTTCATTGGTAAAAATTTTCAAGTAGATATGAATCCCTTATTCAGATTTATCATTTGTTGATGTAAATATTTATCGAAATGGCTGTACAGAACAAAATTGCCAGAAGCAATGTACTCCCTATTATCTGTTTGTTCAATTCTTCTTCATGTTTGCTTCCACAGCACATTAGCTCAATGGCTTTCAGTTAAAACCAGAATATATTGAGAATGTTGACATTTTATGGGTGTACAAGGAGTCATTTAAGTAAGCCCTCAAATCACATTCTGTTATAATGAAAAAGACTGATGCATATCAAATGAGATTGCATGCAATACACATCCTATGTATTGTATACCGTACTTAGGATGTGTATAGCATCTGTATGTGGTATAGCACACATAGATACTATTCAATACTATACACATGGCTTACAAAGCAACAGCAATACCAAATGCAAAGTGAAATGCTAAAGCCAGATACCTTAATGAGTGTTGTATACGTGCAAGTCTGGAGTAAGAAACCATCCTGGATCATCCGAGCCACTAATATGCATGCAGACGTAAAACAGTTTGTACGACTGCAGCAATCAATCATTATGTCATAGGTGGCACCATCAGATGGTAAGTCTAATGATTTCATCCTTCCAAAAATTTTGATTGCCATGTTCCACTGCAATTGGGCCATAAATTCAGCACATCAACATTCTCTGAATAGCTAGGGTTTTCAAAAGACAATAGAAAAGAAATTTGCACATTAACTACAGAAATAGTAATTTTCATAAAAAGAAATAAGAGACATTTCTAACGTGATATCTAAAGCTTACTTCATTGATCTCAACCAGTGAATGAAGAACAGTATTGTACATCAGTGTTATTTGATAAGGATCTACATGATGAAAGTTATTTTCTGCTACTTGCAAATATTTAATCATCTCTTGTAGCATGCCTTCATCTCCAAGAGCTCTCAGCTGAAACAAGACCAAATAAACCTCAGAATTTATCTCATATTAATTAATAAATCTTCTCAACATTGAATTTTTACAAACTGAAGGCAGAAATGTAATTTGAAGCATGAATTTTTATAACACATGACCATACAAAAAAAATGTACTTCCACTTCCAACTCCAACATGCTACGATGTTTGAACACGATCAAAATTTTCATCAATACATTGGCATTATTCAAGTATCAAATCCATGACAATATCTCTTGGAGAAAGCATACCCATTGCAGAGACCAAACCCACCAACGGCATGACTATGACTAAACTCATCACAAGAAAATCCCTAGACTCCAAGCTTCTGCTAGAACTCCCTATTCTTTTGCATCCTACTCCCCTTTCATGCGCTGGTGAAGCATGGGAAGGAAATCAATATGCTAAATTTCTCATAAATGTGTCAGGTGTTAAAGGCAAACTTTGACCAAAGCATGTTGCCGACCAAAAAAAAGAAAAAATCCTTACATGCACTGATAAAATTCTTACAATAATAACCCAATGAAATGCCAATTTTTTGTGCTAACTCCCTAAATTAGCAGGTGGAAAAGCAATTCCAAAGAGACCCATGAGTAGATTTGACCTGCTAAAGATATGGAAGCAATTTATGATAAACTGCAACTACAGTTAAACAGAGTACAAGAACCAACAACTTCTGCTAAAAGAATAAAAATAACATCCACAGTATATGATGCGTTGATATATTCTCCCCAACATGCCCTCCTGAGCATCCATAATTTTAAAAACTAGAGAGTACAAGAGATGGGAAATACATACCAAGTTATGCATCGATCTTGGGCTGTGGTGAACTCCATTCTTCACCATATCAGCCTCTACAGTCCTAATCCTTCTCCAAACATCTGCCCTCGACAACAAATTTCCTTCTTCGTATGGTGCATTGACATTACCAAACAAGGAAAATAGCAATTCATAAGTCCTAATATCTGATTTGATGTTCAATTTCTTCATTTTTGCCAATACCCGGATCCCACGTTCAGGTTCATCCTGCAAAAGATACAAAATAATAAAAATGAACACAGAATCCATTTTCTTCAATTTTATGTAACTGTTCAGGACACCTCACAGAAACCAAAACCTCAATAGGAATCAATTTCTGCTCTCTTCAACAATAACTGGCTTTTCATCATTCTCGTATGAACTTTAAATATTATAGAGCGTAGTTTTTAGTGTAAAAACAAAATTTGGTTTTGATTTTCAGTAAAAGGGACATGCCCAAGTGGCACGACCAGCTCAATACTTCTATCCACCCCGTCAACTTCGTGTTCTACATCTTCCTATCCATTCATAGAAAAAAAGACTTCAAGTACCACTACGCCACTGATATAAAGGAATTAAAAAACCAATTAAGCACTCCATTTAATATGCCCCTTGTGCTTTCCCCTATGTATTTTCCATAAGTTTTCATGAAGAATCACGTTTACTTTGTCCAAAGAGTTCCATACAAGAAGCGCTATGTCCAACAGAACAATAAATAGGAACCATTCCCTCCACAACATGCTAGGATTGTCACTGAATGCAAAACAGATAAATGAGATCAAGCCTAATCGCAAGATGTTGTAAGACCATAACAAGGTACACATCAATGGCAGTGGCCAAGAAAATATGACCAATTATGACTGGACATCGAAAGTAGTGGTCAAGATGACAAACTTCTTCCTTGGCTAGGTAAGAATGGATCCAAACCCTGAACATTTTTTGCAGCTGTTACACTGTAACCACTAAGTTATGAGGTCAAATTAACACCATTTACAATGAATCAATGCTTTATAGCTAAATCTCAGGGAAGAGAAAAGATGACAGCCATTGACGCCCTTCACCCTTAGACTTCACAAAGCTAGAATTCATATTAACTAGATTTTTGAACTTACCAAGGAAGTCTACATGAAACTCATACCACAACTTTTCAACTTCTTGCAACCAAGCCAACTAAGGCAAGAAAAGATTTACATGGCATCAAACAAGCATCTAGGCCATCGATAGAGAGCATACTAAATTAGTAAATGTCCTTGAAATTATTGATTGATGAAGTCAATACCATTTTCGCTCTCTCCATAAGAATCCCCACTTGCCTATGGAGACATTATAACCACAAGCAAATTTGTCATCAGAGGACCACCCATCGAACTAGTCAAATAGCAGTGCAGTTAAAAGTAGAGTAAATTGAAAGAAAGACAAATATTTTTGGAACATATAATTTCTCCTGTAATTTCTTTTTCTTTCAGTAATTATAGATGAAAAGAATGCTTGGGCAAAGACTTTCCTCATTCAGCCTTCTTCCAACACTGGCTGGCTACTGCTTTCTCTAGACAGTTTCGAGGGAGGAAGGCCTCCAATCCTAGGACAAACCAAATTAAATTTTGATGGCTGCTCTCTAGCCAACCCGGGTCCATCTGGGACCGTTGGACTCTTCAGGAATCATGATGGCGCACTCTTGCATACACTCAGACTCCCATACAGCGGAGGCCCTTGAGCTTCTTGAAGAACTCAAAATCTTTAACCCAAAGTGGAGTAGCTCGCTAGTGGTCGAGGGGGACTCATTGAATATCATTCGATGGGCTCCAATTCCTCTACCCGACCTTGGTCGCTGGCCCATATTTTTATTGAAATTACTCCGTTAAGCAGGGACTTGGAAATCTCATGGAAGCATGCTTAGCGGAAGGCCAACCAAGAAGCTGACTCACTCTCTAAAGACGTTGCTTCCACAGCCCTCCCCAACCTTCCCCACTCTGTATAGCCCATTTTTTGGGAGATTTTCTGCCACATCATAGTTTCTCACCTGTACTTACAAAAAGTCTTGTATAGGGCTATCCCGGTCAAGGGGTAGTCTCATTTCTTTACTTTTGTGTAACACTCCTACATGGTGGGATTTCATTTATAGAGCTCCCGGCATATGGGTAGCCTAATTTTGACTTCTTGTAGTCCTTCTCCTTTACTCAATAGAATACAAATGTTAATCGTTTCCAAAAAGAAAAAAGAATTCTTGGGCAAAATAGACGATGTTTCTAAAGAACTACAATTTCTCAAATATGATAGCATTTCAAATAGTTTAAAATTATACTGATAGTTTACAATATACGAGTTACAGATATATATAAAAAAATATAATGAGCTAACCAAACTAATCAAATATATATACAAGGGATCTGCTTCATATAGATATACACAGACCAACAGATACCATGTATGCAAATGCATATCCCAGAATATATACACATACACATTACACATGCATAGTTATATGTACACAATTACACATATAACTCTATCTATATAGATAACTATGTATGAACATACATAGTAAGACACATACGCCTATATCTATTTCTTTTGTTTTGATGCTTCGCCTATATCTATATATATGCACATTGCACATGCATAGCTATATGTACACAATTACACATATAACTCTATCTATGTAGATAACTATGTATCAACATCCATAGTTATACACATACGCCTATATCTATATTTTTTTTTTTGATGCTTCGCCTATATCTATATATATGCATGTATATAAGTAAAAACACATGGGAGGAGATTATGGCATTTATTAAGTATCTATAACCATCTGTTACCTGCTTCAAAAAAAAAAAACTGAAATCACCAAAATGGTCTCTGAGAAAGAGTGTAGTGAACATTTTGGTAGCATGGGTTAGGGCATAAAGTGGAATTGGTTTCTGGACCACACCAACCCCAAGAGGTGTTGTCTATCTTTTGTGTTACAAAATACAGCTATCTGACTTGAACAAAAGATAAGTCTAACCATGAAAAATGAGGTGACCGTATTATAGGATGAACAACAATGGGTATAAGCATGTAAAATATTTGGAAAACCCCATGATACAATGACTTCAGAAGACCTCTATTACGACCCAATCATCAAGGAACTCAATAAATCGACAAGGCTCCCCCATTGCAGACAAGTTTCACACTCCGAGTGCATGTCAAAGTTCAGCACCAAACCATACCCTCCCAGGAGAAAAGAAACTGATCATGAAAGGACCATGATATACAACAGCAACCAATTGCCTAACTTTATTTATTGACTTATTTTTCTACTAAATTACTCAAAAGCGTTATTCTGATTCCTCCCATTAAGTCTTTTGACATAATCTTGCAAGCAACCTTTAGAAGCCTCCACCCAATCAACCACCTTAGCGATTCACGGGTTCAGTACAACAGCAGGGATAAGCCCCTTCATTTATAAAATAAAGCAAACAATATTCAGGGTCACAAAAAAGGTGCCTTTGTCATTTCTTTTGGGTGAAAATTTTGTGAGATCGATTTGGTCCAACAGTGGTTGGAACTACACATGAAAATAGCATTTCACAAATAGGTCTGCCAATAAACAGCCCAAAAGCTTTTAAATGCCATGAAAGATGGCTTACCATAACATCACATGCAGTTAGCAGAGTATTGAAGGGACGGATTCTGTTTGGTGGAATCTGAACTATTTTATCAAGCATAACTTCAGCTAAATCCAGATCCAAGTTTTTGCTAAAACCCTCAGCTAGGGTTAGAAGAGTAGCAGTATTGGGCTCTAAATTTCTCTTTTCCATTGCTTTAACCTGCGAATTCAGAGAAAGGAAAAAGATTAATACTCCACAAGTGCACATCATCCTAAAGATAAACCACTATTTAGAAGAAGCAAAAATGCGAGTCAGTGAACTAATATGTCAAGAAATGACACCCCACCATTAGAGATCAAATATAACAAGGAAAAAGAAAAAACAAAATATTGCACTAGCATATTTACCATCGAAGGGGCCTTAGTTTCAAACAGCGGCTTACCACTTTCATACCAGGTATTACACCTCTCTCATTTATGACAGCCTTTAAGAATCCATTATAGGTTTGCAGCGAGGGCTCCAATCCCAGCTGAAGCATCTAGAGATACAGAAATACAAAGAATAAGTTTCCAGAGAGAATGCATAAAACATGTTATAATACCAAGTTGAATAACTAATTATATACAATTTCATCTCAAAAGCTTCAACTTCTGGTTAATGAGAAATATCAGACTTCAACTATTGATAGCCCACTCAAAGAAAATAGACTTCAAGTAATTACTGCGAAAATGAAATAATGCACCTCATGTGGAACATCAAATTTCATACATCGTTAAAAGCAAAATATAGGATCACTGAGTTATCCCCTATAAATGCCATCAAATCGACATACAAATGCAATTGGACAGAGTAATCAATAAGTTTTTTTTGATGCTTAGAGTAATCAATAAGTTAAAGGTCTATTATTGAAATTTTAGAAGTGCTATTCGACATATAACCATGTAAGTGCTCTAGCGCAAAATTCAACAGAAATCGAAAGATCAATGGGGAATACTGCAGAAGTGTTGGCTGAATAGGACTCATGACACATATTTGCAAATATAACATGACTAAGATCAATATTTCCTAGGAGGATATTTCATTAGAAGATAAATCCTATTAATTAGGCATTAACAGATAGAATGTTGATGGAGGCATATCATACAATATCTTTACCCATATGTGTGTGTATGTGCATTTGTATCCAGAATGCATGAGTGTATTTGCATATGAATGTCTGTAGGCATATTATAAACAAATAATTATTCAAAGGAAACAAATTAAACACAAGGGTCTACCTGCAGAAACAACTTCTCAGCCAGTTCACAATTTTGAGTATGAGCACATCCATGAATTACATCACTGAAAGACACCGTCAAGATCTTCCTCATTGATAAGGTTGAAATTTCATCCTGCATATCGTTTGCCCCAACTTCCATTTGTCTACTCAACTCCTCAAAGTCGGTATACTTATCATGTGCTGCCACCATGTGCTGTCCACAGAAGCCAGAGGCAGAGGTAATAAGAGGGTTAGACCCTCCAAAACTCTCCCTATAGTTGATAGGAGAGACCCCATTTTCAAATATTGTTGAGGGAAAGAATCTTGGTTCAATAGGTATAACTCCCAGATCCATTAGATGACTTCTGGAGCTAAGATTTTGCCCCAAGCCAGGTCCACTTGATTCATAATTGCAGTTACTTATCAAGGCTGTGTCCTCTCTTGCATCCATGAACCTGTCTTCAAGTTCATCGTTGTTTACACTACCACTCTTCGAGTGCAATTTATGAACACAAGAGGGAATGGGGATGTCTAGCCTTGATGAATGGAATCGTCCATCCACTGATCTAACAGCGGAATCGTTTGCTCTAAACAATTGGGCCACCATTTGCTGCAAGATCACAAAAGCTGATCCTATATCCCATAATTTTGAAAAGGACCAGACAAATTTTTGGAGAGTGGTGATGCTTGGACTGTAATATTTGGTGCATTCCACCCAAATCTCTTTGACTGCAGAGAGATTTCTCTGCCAAACTGCAAGCTGCAGAATATAAAGATAAAATTTTGTTATAATGCAAACAGAATCTAGATAGGACAAGAGGTCAAGAAGGTTGCATAGAGACATTTTTTGAAAATGTTGACTGTATTTTATTTATTAAAGGAAATCAAGTACAAAAATTTGCTTCCTGAAAGGAAGCTATGTACTTTTTTTATTTAAAGAAATACATGCACTTGAGTATTGATAAAATCTATGTCATGGATGAACAAATATGCTCATTGTTAAAACTTGTACAATCAGATACTGAAACAATGACTTAGGAAAAATAACTCAAACCAGATGAGCAATGTTTGGTATAAAAAGAATAGTTACTAATGTAGTGTTCCGAGAATCGCTTTGCTTTGGCCGAAGTCTTCAGCTTTGAACTCCAAATCAAAGAGAAGTGAACCCCACTCATATTTTAAAAAAATAAGGCAAATATCACCAATATTTTGAAAATATCAGGATATTATTAAAATATCAGGAAAATATCACCAATAGTTAAAAAATATAGGGGGAATATTAGACAAAACAGAAAATTCTTAGAAATAAACCAAGTTATACGTATTTAATTTTTTTGTTATATATTTTCTTTAAAACGGAAGTGTTCCCCTTTTGGCCGAAGCATCAAAAGTTCGAAACATTTCTCCCCATACAAAAAGCATGCATGGATACACACCCACACCTCCACAGGCACACAGAAATTTGGGGGCATTTGGCGGAACCATAGTGATTCTCTTTACAGAAGTTGCACTCCTGTATGTTAAAAAGGACTCTAAGAGACAAGCATATTCATTGATGAAAAACTTGGATAATCACGAAATTGTTTGAGATTAGCGAAGACAGCATTATGTGGGTTCTTCAAGTCTCCTATGGAAGAATTTATGTGGGTGCTTCAAGTCTCCTACGGAAGAATTTGAATTTGGAAATCTTGAAGGATCATAGATAAACAGGATTATGAGCCTAGGGCAACCTGCTTAGAGGTTATTCCACCTATGTGTTTACTAAAGCAAATTCCATAGGAACTTCAGACATTGAAAAGAAATGTGTACCCTAAAGGCTCTAGGATTGTCCCTACATGCAGTGAATCAGTGAAGTCACCAAAAATTGTGCTAGCCACGAGTCTATTTGGACTGAAGGTTCAACCAAATTGGTGTATTACACTGTTGAGTACTTTATATATAATAACTCCCAGAAATAAACACAATACCATAAGTGCCCTAGATTGTAGCCCGCGCCTTTTTTAAGTCACTGGGGAGAGAGATCCAGTGTTCAGTTATCTATAATCATCAAAAGTATATGTATATTTATTTGGTGAAACTGGATGTCAGGATGTTAGGTGATTAACCACTTATCAATCATATTTAGATGGGCTTCAAAAAGATACTTCCCATGCTCTGAGGTCTAAGACAGAGACCATTTGTGCCCTTCGTGGTTTTTTGTTCTGGCAAAGACTTTTGTAGCTGTATGTTGAGTGGTGTTTTTGTTATGGGCGTTGACAAGCTTCATATAGGGATCTTGTACTGACCCATTTTGAATGAACTAATGAGACTGTTATATTATGTGATGCAGGTACAACACAGATGAAGAACCTATACCCGTTCTTGAGGTGCTTTGCAAAGGCCTCAAGCATAAGAGTAAAAATGTCAAAAACCAATTTATTGGGCCTCTGTGTCTCTGAAGATAGATTGCACCCCTTGCAAATGTGTTGGATATGGAACCTCAGTTTGCCCCTATGTATCAGTAAACCAGCGAAGGCAATGCCAGGGGGTGCTCAAGGAAAGGTTCAAGAAGTTGAACTCTTGCAAGATGAGATTCTTGTCCATGGATGGGAGACTACGCTCATCAAACCCACCAACTCAAATCAGCCCATCTACAAGTCTCTTTTCCCAAATTCCCTCCAGTTGCAAAGGAAATCAAAAAACTTGGGGGGGATTTCCAGTAGGACCTTCAGAGAATCATAGGTTTCACTTGGCTATAATAGACCAAAAAGTAAAGGAGGCTAGGGGTGAGGAAAACAAGAGGAACAAAATCAGCGCTCCAAGCCCAAAGACAGTGGAGATCAGGGATGCAGTCAGACCACCGATGGAAGCAGATCGCAGCAAGAAAATACAGGAAGGATCAATCAGGTTGGTTTGTGAAGCCACATCAAGGTGAAACTAGGTTCTCAGGGGCTTGGAATGGAACTAATAGTTGGTCAAGTTTCATTAGTAATATTAACATCCGGTGGGCAATGGGACCAAACACAAGATTCCAGTCAGACAAAGGGCTTGGAGAACAATCCTAGAGGGAAAACTACCCAGATTTGTTTGCTTTGTCAACAACAACCAAAGGCTTTAATGGCAGAATAAGTGCATGATCTCAGGAATCAAACCCCATGAAGGTCATGCCTTAGACATTCATTGAAGAATGAAGAGCTCCAAGTCTTCTTTGATGCAATGTAGGACTTTTATTTGCATTTTATTATACGTTTTTACAAGATTGAAACTCGAGTTATTTGGTCTTTTATTTTTTGAGTTATCTTGGGGCACGGGCATTTATGTCCAATGTTGAAAAAAGCACGATGCAAACCCGGGCTGCCAGAGCAGGCAGAACACCTAAGCATGATGTGGGTTCCTAGGCAGGCACCTCAATTTCGAGGTGCCCTACACACATACATGCACAAACACACACAAAGCAAGATGCAAGCCGAAGCCGCCAAAGCAGGCAGAGCCCCTAAGCATGATGTGGGTGCCTTGGCAAGCGCCTCAATTTCAAGGTGCCCTACACACACACACACACATATATATGTGCACTCCAAGGAGACATAGCTAGATATAAATGAACACTTTACACATATATATACATTCCAAAAAACATTTTTGGCACATATATGTCAATATGTTCATATATATGTAATGTTTGTTGCCTGGTCTTCCATTGTCAATGTTTAGGATGAACATCTAGCTCTATATCACCAAAAATATCCTCTAATAACCTCTCTTGTAGGGGTGGCAATCGGGTCAGTCAACTTACAAGGTTGGCTGATCGACCAAAAACAGGTCTGGATCCGGGTCTAGGTGATGGACCTGGGGGCTCAGGTCCGGGTCTAGCTTGGACCCTATCAGGTGGGGTCAGGTCAGGCCCAAATCGGTGGTTAACCCGATCCTACCCAGTATATATGAGTATAAAATGCTATATAAGTTCAACAATATTAACTACATATTATAAAATATAAAACATAATTTTTTTATTTTTATAATTCCAGACCTGGACCCGATCAACCAAGTGGGTCGAGTCAACATCCAACGTCCAAAGGACTTGGATCCGTCCTAGGTCCAAGTTGGGTATGGGTCCAAGTTAGGCCTTGTAGGGTTGGGAACCGGATTGGATCGACCAGGAGCCAACCCGACCCGTTGCCACCCCAAATCTCTTGATAGTAGAATGAATCCTAACCAGAAGAATTGGATTTGAGAAGATTTATCAAACTTCTTGATTTTTTTTAAATCTCAAAATTTTTTGAAAAATCTTCAATATTTCATTTTTCACTCTCAATAGGGTTAGAGATGGTTCAAGCAGCATTTGAAGACACAGTCCTCCCGCCCCTCCCCCAAAACAAAAACAAGAAAAGAAAAAGGGAGGAAACCATGGGAAAGTGCTTAGGCTGCTTGGGAGCCCCACATAAACCTAAGCGAGGTGCTTACGTAACCATCCTGCATCAATGCAGCTGCCTAACCACCTTTTGCATAATCTGTCAATCTGTAAATTTTTTTAAGTTGATTTGTTTTCTCCTGTATTCCATCAAGTGATATTACAACCTCAAAATCCCCACAGTAATACTGCCAAAGTCACCTTCCATGAAGTCAACTCCCATGACTACGTTGCAACAACTCATGGTCTCTACATGATCAAGCCATAAGCAGCATTTTAGGAGAGATCAGAAAGCTTCCAGGACAAACTAGTGACCTTCAAGGATAGATTGGAGAACTAAATCTGCAGTTAGAACAATTAAAAAAACATTCTTTTTTGTGAAGAGAATACAACCTTTGAGCTCGAAAGAGAAGTCAAGATAACGTGCGATATCCTAGAGTTCCACTACAAGTTCAAATTAAGTATTTAATCTATTGGTTTACTTAAGTGGAAGAAGTATCTAAGTGAATGGTGGGAGGGACTCCATCACCAATTTATTGAAAAGGCCTCTAAAGAATGTGAAAAACACAAGTAGCTTGAGGTCAAGCTTCTTCCAACCTTAACTGAATAATGAATGTCAAGGTCTTTTATTTTATTTTTTTATTTGTGTTTTTTGGAAAATTAAATTTAGGCTTGATTCTGATTTTTCAACTTTTTTAATTATCTTAGGTTAGAGTTGAGGGTGGAATTTGAAGTTTAATTTTGCGAAAGTGAAGAGCTATGGTTTTTAATAACGATAAGGGTTTCTTATAGAGCAATTTAGCATTTAAGAGTTTTTTTATAAATATGTAGAGAAGACTATTAGTTTTTCTTACAGCTAGTTTGAATGTCAAATAAAAGAAGGCCATCATTTAAAAAAATTACAAGCTTTCAAATGCACGTTAAAAAAAATTTGGAGCTTTTTTTCTATTGTTGCAAAGTAGTTTGGGTGTTCTGACTTATAGCACTAAATTTAAAAGGGATACCAAATGCTAAAAGGTAGATATCAAAATAAAATATTAAAAACGAGAGAGAGAGAGAGAGAGAGAGAGAGGACGTACGTTAGGTACGTACTACTAAGTAAGGTTAGTTTAGGTAGGAAGGACCGACCGTACGG